CATCTCATCCCATCCCATCACATCGCATCCAAACCGAAGCCAACCCACAGAGACACCAGCCACATGGCCACCGGATGCGGAGCCAGAAATGCAGCTTGACTATTTTTAATTACCGGGCAACATCTGCTCCATCTCGAGCTCCAGCTGCCAGCCAAAGTGGGGTGGCCTTCAGTGATGGACATTGTGAGAATTTCTTAGCCAGGTGGGATACGGGTTAGTACAGTGTACACGCTGAATAAAAAATCACTTAGCTAAAGTACTTTGGAAATAATATAAAGTGGGCCTAATGCAAAACACTACATGATCTTCTAATAAAGTTTAATAATATTTGATAAAATGCATTTATTACTTTCTGTTTACTCTACTAAGTCTACACGGCTTATTGATCAACTCTACCCATATAGATTCTTAAAATAGGTACTGTTCCTAGGTTTTCCCGCCTCTGACTTCCTGGCAGGAGCACTGTAATTGTTATGGCTGTCATGCGGCTGCGGATGGGATGGGCTCGGATTGGGACAGGTGATCGTGGCTGTTTAGAAAGAACCGAGGACACATAAAGTAAACTCAAACATAACACTAAGATTTCAAAAATAAATGTAGGCCACACTTTCATAAATGCTTTAAAATAACTTTGGCAATGCGATTATACTGCTCTAGCTCTAAAAATAATTCCACATAAAATGCATTGTTTTAAGAAACCTAATGCGCTTTTCTCTGAGTGTAGGCATGCAGCATGCGAATCAATTACATATTACAGCCGTCGCAGCGATTAACTGCAGTGACTTTAGAGAACTGTTCAACACTAACCTGTTCGAGTCGATGCCGCTTTCATTAAAGTGCAAATTATGACTTGCCAGTTCCGCCAGGTGTTGTGCCCGCCTGGCCTATTTGTCTTGAGTGGCCGGGCCTCGGTGGGAAGGAGCCACCCGGCGGTGGCTAAGTCGGGGCTCTGCCCTTTGCGTATGAAGTTATCAACGGCGGCCACAGCCCCACTTTATTTGCCACACTTGCAACATTAATTGCTACCTGTGCCTGGAGTTGCAGATGAATAGGAGGCAGTCGAGCTTTAGATCTATATATAGCATGTAGTAGGAAGTGGAGAAGCATTTGATGTGCTCCGGATGGACAAACATATTCATTTTCTTGTAACATTTATTAAAAATAATAACCAGAGATCAACAAGTCAGTTATGTATTCCGGATTGAATCCTCTATCAGAATGTGTTCTTTTTGGCTCGAATTAATGGCAATAAAAATGGAATAAGTTCAATTATTAATGGGGCACACAAAATATTTCCAAAATGTGTCCAAAATGTCCAGGACACTAAGTGCACTTCATGCAGCGAATGTTCTCAGTGAAGAGCAGGTTGTAGCCCTCAATCTTGAACATTTGGTTCTGGATATTCTCCTCAATGTGCTTGTAGGCCAGATGCCAGCAGCAAGAGCTGCTGCGTTTCGCATTGATGATGCTGCAAAACAAAGGTTGCTAAGTTTGTGCAGAAACTAAAACGGCTTAGAAGCAACTCCTTACCGGCACAAATACTTCATCACATCGTACATGTGGTTCAGTTGGTCGCACCTAATCATATTAGAGACCTGCTTGTGAATAAGGTCCACGTCCGTCGGCTTGGGCACCTCCTCGCGACTGACCCATTCGTTCAGCAAGTCCTTGTAGTTGGCCCCCATGAGCAGTTCGGGCAGCTCCGGCACCTCCTTGTTGGGTTTTGAGATGATCCTCAGAATATTGGGATGCACGAAATTGGGCAGATCCTCAATGTAGTCTGCCACAATCTGATCCGATCGGATGCCCTGCTCTTGTTCCTTGCGGTCCGTACGCTTTTGCATTCTAGCCACAGCCGCCCGGGAAGTAGATGGTTTAAGATCGCTGGCATTTAGCGGGCTCACATTTTTGGGGGAGCGGTTGGGTTTCGATAAAGGCGGTGAGTGGAGGGTCGGGTAACGTGGAGGAGCCGATTTCCTAACCTTTCCATCGAACTCGGCTATGGACAGATATTCCTCTCTGTGGGCGATCACCTCGAGGCGTATATCCTCCGGCAGCTGAGCCAAAACCTCCTCATCAAGCTGTGGTTCAAGGGGTACTACCCGAGTTCTCGGCTTCGGACCATGTTCTTTTTGACCCCTGTCTTCGTTCAGCTGGTCACGTTTCCTGGTCACCGCTGCTGCCGTGAGCATACTCATCACATTCCTGGCCTCTCGGGGCTTAGGTTTAGCTTCAACCACTGCTGGTTTGTTGGCTGCAGATAGATATAGAGGTCATAAACATGCTAGAAAATGAACTATTATTCTGTTTGAATACCTTTATCATCGCTTGTGGACTTTTCGCCAACTGCTCCTTGGGGTACAGGTTTATCTAAGGGATATAATAACAATAATACAATAGGTACTAAAAATTGGCCGGATTAAATACCCTTCTTCATCTCGGACATCTTGCCGAACATCTGCTTAATGATGTTCTCCTTGCGAATCTCGCTGGCATCCTCCAGCTTAGTGAGGTGTATGCCAATACCTCGCAACTCGTGGGGCGGTAGATCGGCATCTTTCATCAGGTTAAGGACCACCGAGGTAATTACGTTTACATCATCCGTGGCATGTTTGATCAGTGAGGACTTGTTGATGATATCGCAAACGCCGTGGCCCATGTACTTGGAGGTTTCGACTGGCGCTTCGGCGGCGCGCACCATTACCTTCAGGTTAATCGATCTAGCCTTGCGCTTGATCTCAACCAGACGCTTTGTAACCTCTTCGCTGAGCTGGCGCAGAAATTGTTCGCACTTGGCCGATTTGGTAAAGCGGATGCCGAAGTTCATTTCGGCCGAAACTGTTTTGCGGGTCTAGAAGAAAAGTTAGATATTAGAAACACATATGTGGAACGCAATAAAATATGAACGCTAACCTGCTCATAAGCCAAAGGACGATCATCAATTCCCTTGCAGTTCTGGAACAAATTCTGACCAAGCTTCTTGCCCAGCACCGTTTCCAGCTTCTCCAGCGTGGAGTTCTGCACATCTCCGCAATTATTCAGTCCCGCCAGCTTGAGCTTGTGGCTCATGCTGCTGCCCACTCCTGGCAGTAATTCCAAAGGCATCGGCGCCATATAGGCCAAAATATCCTTTTTCGAATCCAACAAGAACTGGCCGTTCGGCTTGGCCTCCTTGGTGGCCATACGTGCCAGCAACCTATAATAAATCAAGTATATAATATAATCTTAAATAGGTAATTTGCTACTCACTTGTTGCCTGCCACCCCTGCTGAGCACGAACATCCCGTTTTGGCGCGCACCTCCTGCCTGAGATGACTCACAAAAGCCATCACATCAACATCGAGTTCGCAGACCAGATCGGTTAGCTCCACAAACATCTCGTCGCAACTCACGGCCTCGATGTTTAGGGTGTACTGGGCCACTGTGTCGTACAGAGTGGTAGCCACCTCCTTGTAGCCTTCAAAGTCATAGGGAATCGTCTTAAGCTCCGGACAAAGCTTCAGGGCCTGACCCACAAACATGCCATTGCGGATGCCCTTCTCGCGAGCCTCGTAGCTGCAGGAGGCGATCTCCGAGAGCGACATTTTCTTGTCAAAGCCCGAGCGCACCTTCTCCGCCTTTTCCCCATCGTGGGCATGCTGCTCAAAGCGCTGGGCAAAGAGTTCCAGCTCTGCCTTTCTGTCCGCCTGCGGATGCACTGGTACATCGGTGGCTGCGTTACCTCCCTTCGAGTGGGTCACCGCAATCGGCAGCCCACGAAGCTCAGGACGGGTTCTTAGGCCCACGGACACAAAGAAGCAGTCCATGTCGATGTGCATCACATAGCGCTCCGATCCATTTCGCAGCGATCTTGCGAGGGACTTCAATGTGTCCCTCTTGGGAAAGCCCTGGGAGCCATGATCCAGACGCAACTGGCAGACATACTGCTTGAAGCCTGCGCCCAGAGTGGCGATATGATGCAGCCGTGAGTTCTTGTAGAATTCACTTAGGAAGTTCGGATCTGCGGCTGTGCGAGCGACGGTCGAGTTGCTGGAGGTGGTGGATAAGTTAGTGATCTTGCTCTCTGATACACTGGCCTCCTTTTCTGGCGAAGTGGCCACAGCCTGCTGCAACTCCTCGAGAATGCCGCCGAGCTCCATTTGCATTTCATCCTTTGAAGAGTCCACCTCCATTGGCGTTTTATCTTTCGGGGCCCCTACATCCACATCCAATTTGCTCTCATTTGCACTGCTGTCCTTGGGTTTCCCAAAGATGAGCTTGGGCTGCGACGTTTTCTGGTTGGTGTACAGCAGATAGGGTTTGTAGTCCACCATCTTCTTTTTTGCCAGGCAATCCACCACCCACTTGGCGCTGATGTACTTGCTGAGATTCATGTTCCTGACCTTGACATCGGGCAGAACGGAGGCTATTATATACGTCGTGTGGCTCCTTTCGTAGTGGTGAAAGGTCCCGCCGTGCACCATCATGATCCGCTTCAGTTCATCCGCCGAAGGGTCGGTCCGCCCGTTCACAAATATTGAAATGCCTTCAAACAAGTCTGACTTGCGAAAAGGATCGCTGGCGGCGGCGAACTGCTCCTCCAGTTTCGATTTCTTGGCTTCGAAGTAGCCGCCCTGAAAAGAGCGGGTCTGGTTGATACACACTGTTTTACAGTTTACTTACAGCTTACCCATTCACTAAAACCATTATCCTCGTCCCGGGCCATTTTTAAACGCTTAAATGCATAAAAAGCTAAAATTGAATTTCACCAATGCCGCTCAGCTGACACTCTGACGCGTAATATTTTTGCGCCCATCTGGCAACTCTCTTTTCGCATGGCCGCGTTCCTTCCGCATTTTTCAGGGGTTCTTACTATTTTGATATGGCTAGGAATTTTAATTTAAGTAATCGCCGTATTAAAAAATGAGTGAAATACTCCGATTTAATCAAGTAAAAGGTACTTAGCGCGACAAATACTCACCCGACTACGCCCTTGTTTTTCTGCTCAGCTGTTGGCGAGCATACTGTTTTGGCATTGTCCAGCACTTACGTTTTGTTTTATGTTATCGACAGCAGTGTCATTTGCCTGAACTTATCGTTCTGCGTGAAGTTTTGTTTATTCTATACGAAATTTGCAAAATGTGGAAATACGGCCAGAACCAGGGTAATCAAGGACCGTCGGGCGGCGGCGGCGGAGGCGGTGGCCCCAACATGATGCCCATGGGCGGATTCGGCATGCAGCACGGCAATATGCAGCAAATGCACATGTCGCCGCAACATCAGCAGCAACAACAACAAATGGGCATGATGGGCGGACCGGGCGGCATGCAGATGAATCCCCAGGGACCTGGAGGTCCCGGCGGCCTGATGCCCGGCATGTCTCCGCAGCACCAGATGCAGCAGCAGCAACAGCAGCAGATGATGCAGCAGCAAATGATGGTGCCCCAACAAGGAGTGGGCGTCGGAGTGGGAGCGGGTGTGGGAGTGGGAATGGCCGGCGGCTTGGGAATGGGCGGAGGCGGCGTGGTTCCCCAGCAGCAGCAGCAACAGCAGCAGCCCCAACAAAACATGCCACAGCAGAACATGCCCCAACAGCAGCAGCAACTCAATCCGGGTGCAGGCATTCCACCTGGCGGAGCCGGGGGCAACAACAACATGCTGGCCATCTCGCAGCAAAATCCTCACAAGGAGATTAACATTGTTCAGCTGTCCCGTCTCGGCCAGGAGACCGTGCAGGACATCGCCTCACGCTTCCAGGAGGTCTTCGCCTCCCTCAAGAACATCCAGCCCACCTCGCACAGGGACAACAACAGCGAGAAGAAGGTGCAGGAGTACTTCCGCACCATCCGGCTGCTCTTCAAGCGGGTGCGCATCATCTACGAGAAGTGCAACGACGCCGGAATGGATTACATGAGCGCCGAGAGCCTGATCCCCTACCGCGATGAGCCGGAACCGAGAATCGAGCCCTCGCAGTGCGATGAGTACCGAAAAGTGCTGCAGGAGAACCACGAGCTCATCGAAACCGTCAAGCTGAAGAACAGGCAGCTGCGCGAGATCATCGATCGGACGCGCATCATCATCTGGGAGATCAACACCATGCTGGCCATGCGGCGCTCATAGGCTTAGAGATTCTAGACATGTAATAACGTATAAATAAAACTAAGAACCATTGCCAAAAAGCAATTCTATAGGGGATATGATGGAATGATTGTTTATAAATTTAAAAATAAGCGGTAATCGCATAACTGCTGCGTCCTATCGATTGTTGGCCATCGATAAATGATAAATAACTGCGAGGAAGAAGCAGAGTTTGTTGTGGGCGACAATTTAAAGACGAATTTAGCAGCGGAAAATTAGCTAATCTAGCAAATTAAAGTTAGTCAAAACATCGGCAGACATGGCGAAAATGGCATTCCAGCACCAGGCCGGCACGGCGATGGAGTGCTTGAGCGTAAGTGGCGACTGAACTAAACCTGGCTCACACGCACAGTCGCCTGTGTGTGTGTGTGTGTATAGGTGAAATTGGGTCGCTGGAGCAAAAAGACACTAGCCACTTTCAAATTCGAGGAATAGATGAAACGTGACTCACAATTCGCAGATTCCCATCACGCTGCACAAGGAGAAGGACTACGACCAGGAGGGACGCGAGATCCTCAAGTGCGGCTTTAAGATCGGCGGTGGAATCGACCAGGACTACAAGAAGAGCCCTCAAGGATACACGGATTATGTGAGGAACCTGGGATGCTACCACCTTAGAACCTAATTCTAGGCATAAAAAAGAGCTTCGAACTTGAAATGCATCTGATGCTCTCCTTTAATGCTGATGAATTTGGTTTTAGCTCGGTTAATTCAGAACAGTTCACAATGTTACCACATTTTTCCCATTCGAAAACAGGGCATCTATGTGACCGAGGTGCACGAGGGCAGTCCCGCCGCCCGAGCAGGCCTGCGGATCCACGACAAGATCCTGCAGTGCAACGGCTACGACTTCACCATGGTCACCCACAAAAAGGCCGTGAGCTACATCCGGAAAAACCCGATACTCAACATGCTGGTGGCCCGCAAGGGCGTGACCTCCACATAAGTGGTTCCCGGAGCAGGGTCTCCACAGACTAAAGCAGTATTTAAGCGGCATTTAAACTATCCCCTCCACCGCCTCTCTGGGCCAAGGATCTCTTTGCCTCCTGCAACCTATGCGAATACTTAGATATACCATATTATACATATATTCATTACGCATGCATATCGCGCACACATGTAGCCAGACGTAAATGTAGCACCTAGTAATGCTTCTTGTTGAATTCGATTTCTTTGCCTATCCCATCACTTGTTGAACGAATCGCCAAGCTCCTAAGCATAAAACAGATTGCCAAATACCGATATAAACAAACAATACCAGAAACAACAGACTCGAGTATAAACAATTTTGTACTTTTATACGTGCAGACCATTCCAAAACCAAACTGAAGCAGCAGACGAACGCAGAGTTGTTGAAACGAACATACATTCATAGTACATACTTGTGATAAATGACTTTAACTGTGCAGATATGTGCGAGGAAAGCGCATCACTTAAGTTTTAAATTGAGTTTTTAATGTTATATTGCATTTGAATAAATGTTTGCTAAATAAATGTGCGAGATAGATGTCTTCTTGGAACTGTAGTGCACTTTATGGGATATATATGTACATATACTGGATCCAGCTGATTGAGATCTGACCCATTGTGCAATTGTGTGTTTACTCAGGCAAATATTTTTAGCCAAGTGCCCAGTGAAACCCACCAGTGGCACCTTGTCTATGACCTTAATTACGCCATTACGCCGATTGGCACGCGTCAATGATGCCAGCGGTCACCGAACGCGTAAATGAGCAGCAAATTACATGACAACAGCGAAAAGCCTTTTTAATTACAAAGTACTTTGGATTACATACGCACACTTGCGCACATCGAAATGGGCGAATACTACACGAAATTTGGAAAGAAATATACACAACTAGAGGCAAATAGAAATTGCTACCTGAGCCCTTATCAGTGGTAGTAACTCGGGAACTTGCGGAGCGGCAGAATCTACGCAAGACAGCTCTACTTGTTGGCATACCCGTTGGGGTTTTGGCTCTGCCAGCGCCACGTGTCCTCGCACATCTTGTCGATGCCACGCTCAGCCCTCCAGCCCAGCTTCTGATCCGCCAACGTGGCGTCCGCATAGCAAGTGGCTACATCTCCGGACCGTCGGTCCACCAGCGTGTAGTTCACCTTCTTGCCGGAGGCCTTCTCAAACGCTTTCACCATGTCCAGCACCGAGTAGCCCACGCCGGTGCCCAGATTGTAGGCAAAGAAGCCCGTCTCCGCGATGTTGCGCAGCTTGTCCAGCGCCTTCACGTGTCCCTCGGCCAGGTCCACGATGTGGATGTAATCGCGCACCCCGGTGCCGTCGTGCGTGGGAAAGTCGCTGCCGTAGACGCTCAGGCTGGGACGTCGGCCCACGGCCACCTGTGCGATGTAGGGCATCAGGTTGTTGGGCTCGCCGTTCGGATCCTCGCCAATCCGCCCACTGATGTGGGCACCCACCGGGTTAAAGTAGCGCAGCGAAACCACGGCCCAACGCTGAAAGAGGGATATCTTTAGTACGGAACATATGGTCATCGTGCAATGACATCCTACCTTGTCTGACTTGCAGAGATCCTTGAGAATCTCCTCGGTGAAGTATTTGGTCTTGCCGTAGGGCGATGTGCAGTTGCCCGTGGGATGCTCCTCGGTCACGGGCAGGAACTTTGGTTCGCCGTAGACAGTGGCGCTGGAGCTGTACACGAACTTGAACACATTGTTGTCGGCCATCGCCTCCAGCAGGACATTGGTGCCGGTCATGTTGTTGTGGTAGTACTGCAGAGGGATGCGGCAGGACTCGCCCACGGCCTTCAGGGCGGCAAAGTGGGCCACCATGTCGATTTTGTGCTGAAAGCAATGTTAATATTCTTATTAGTTTGGAAAATCCACAGTAAGCACAAGGAAATCACTTATATACGCGTATAATTTCATTTTAATTGAATGATAGTATAACTTTTATTTCAAGGTGATTGAATAACCATTAAGCGATTTATAAATAGCTGTGATAGTGCTGATTAGGAAAAATTCCACAAAAAACATTGCTCATCCTATTCAGTAATCAGTAGGCGTAAGCGCAGAGCTATGAGCATTTGGAGTTGAATAAAAATATGAAAAACATCATACTGGGTTAAGAAACTAAGATATTTCATGGCTGTTTGGGCAACAACGTGCATTTTAAATCAGTTTTAAATAAACACTTCGTTTATATAAACGACGACGGCTAACGCAAACTCCCATTCATCGAACATCTAAAGAATTCATGAAAACCTGCTTGAATTGGCCAATTCTCTTGGTTATCAGTGGAAGTAAGCACTGTAATCTGACTCCCCCACCATCTAGAGTGCAGTGTACGTGCCCGGGAGCTGCTGTGGATGTGGATGCCAGCGCACCAACTCGAGTGCGACCTCGCCAAGTGGGTCTTCCATTCAGGGTCGATCGGCGAGGCGGTTCGTCGGAAGTGCCCCACCACTTGAGCACACAACAAAACAAGCGCGAACGAGAAAAAAGCTGATAGCGCGCATGCCAGATAAGCTTGATTGAATGGTATCCAGTTGGCACATCTACCCCAGAACCTCCGAACTGCTGACGTGCCAGCTATGATGTACGAGTACATATGTGCTCACCTCCTGGAAGACGGAGCGCACTTGCTCCCTGTCCGTGATGTCCACTCGATAGAAGTTGACCTTCTTGCCGGTGATTTCCTGCACCCGGCTGAGGGCCTCCGGCAGCTTGGCCCCGCTGCTGTAGGCGTTGCACAGGTTGTCCACGCAGATGACGTTGTAGCCCGCGTTGAGCATCTCCAGAACCGTGTGGGAGCCAATGTAGCCGGCTCCTCCGGTGACCAGAACCGTGGGTGGAGCCATCCTAAGTGGCGAAAGGGAAAAACACACGAAATTAGGCCACACGAGTTGCGAGTTGCGAGTTCTCATTGACGTCACCAAAATCGTTTGGCGGGCGTGCGAAACAGCCGTCTGCTTGGCAAAAAACGGGTAACTCACCTGTTTGCAGGTGATTATAGTAGAGAAGCCCCGTTCAATGATTCAGACTGGCTCTTGCGTCTAGAGACGTGCCCTTGAAACGATTCCGATTCGGATTCCGATGCCTAAAAACGCCTCTGATCTCCGACGAGATTGCAGATGATGGTGTGGTAGATGAAGATGCCAAAGATCGCTGACCGTTGAGTGCTATCGCTTGCTAACCCGTTTCTTGCACTCTTCCTCATTCATCTGTGTTGTCGTACGTCTGTTTTGATCTGCGGTCGCTGGCCAACTGAACTGGTGCCTCTCCACGGAGCCTATTTAACTTGTTCTCCGTTCTCCGAACGCGCACTTCTTATCAGTCTCGTTGGTTGGTGCGCTGCGAGCTCTCCTGGCCCTGTGATTCAACTGCTAAGTGCAGCCTGACTTGGTCGCCGGACTGCCGAGGTCACCTCGAAGTGCATCCTTATCGCCGCTGACCGTTGACTCCCGATTCCATGCCCATTTATGCAATTTCCAGGTGCTCTTTACTGCGCTCTCCGAATAAAAGTAAACAAAGTCGTGGCGTTGCCACGCGATGTGGCTCGTTCGGCGCTGCCACATCCGCCGACTTTAAAGCTGTCTGGCCGGCGGGTCTTATCTCCATAACTTTCTTGGCTGCCTATCGATATGCACATTTTAAAACCCAAATTGCGCTCATATCGGTGCTTAAATGGTAAAACATTCTGAAGGCGGGAATAAGGGTGTTACGTGATCGACAACAAACGTAACCTTTAATTTGTAAGGCGGATTCAATCACGAATCGCAATTAAGGTGGAAAACTCCAGTGAATAGCTTTAGTATCAACAAAATAAAGTCAAAATCCTAATGCTCTGTAATTTTGTAACGCATTCTCTGCCCGACTTAATTATTTTAACTCGTCTGGCATCACTGCCACCTTCTGTAAATTTACATGTAGATAAATTGAAATTTTACTTGACTGATTAACGCAAAATATTCAAAATGAAATGTTACACATTTATAGCTCGAGAACTCCACGTTTGATAACAAAAAGCTTAAGTACTAAACTGGAATCACAGTTCGGTCAGCTTTTTGGTGACCCAAAT